TTATTTAATCATTATGAATATGCATTTCAATTCAAAAATTATGAATATATAGTTTGGTAATTATGAACATAGAGCTAATTAAGATCGCGGCAAAAGAAATGGGATATAGCAAACTGTACGGCATCGATCAACTACTCTTTCATATCCATTCTCAACGTGTCCCAGGCATGCCGGAGGGGTCGATTACCAACAGTTTCAACCTTGTGGCGCTAGCCAGAAGGGTCGATTACCAACATATAGCTAACCTTAGCTTGTTAGTCATGCGCTAGCCGTAAGGGTCAATTACCAACATATAGCTAACCTTGTTAGTCATGCGCTAGTCGGAATAGTCAATTACCAATCCCGGCACCTATCATATATACCGCCCTAAACCCCTACACATCATACCGCACCATTATGAACACCACCCCATATTGTTTTTTATACTTTATAATTATTATTATTATTATTTTGAATTCATAGATTGGTCTTTATTGTAATATAATTGAAAATAAAACTTTAATGAATTTACTTTGAAATTTTGGTGAATAATTTTATATTTAAATATGAACGAAAATATAACTATTTTGGTAATATACTAGATGTTGCGCTCAAATACATAAGTATTGTTGTGGCTTAGTGGATTTAGTTTAGTTTATTATGTTAGAGGTCTTAGGTTTTATTCTTCTTGGGGGGAATTCTTCAACTATTTTCTAAAATTGTTGTTTTGGTTTTCACAAACAACACAGAAGCAACCCAGTTATATACAGATGTTGCACCTTAAGATATAAGAGGTTGTGTTGTGTTGTTGGTAAAATCATGTACTTGTTAAGTATGAGGTCATAGGTTCAACTCTTTTAGTTAACATTTTTATTTTATATACCTGTTAAATAATGATGCGCAACGACAACGGTTTTTTAAAACCGTTGTCTTTATAGTGTTGTGTAATCAAATACACTTAAAGACAACATATCTAAGACAACGATTAAATAAAACCGTTGTCATAACAAATAAAGAACATGCAAAGACAACGGTTATATAAAACCATTGTCGTTTTAGTGTTGTGTATTCGATTGCGCTTAACGACAACACACCAACGACAACGGTTAAATAAAACCGTTGTCTTTTTTTTAAAAAAAAAAAGAGCGCACAAAGACAACGGTTTTAAACAACCGTTGTCTTTCTAGTGTTGTGTATTCCAGTGCGCTTAAAGACAACACACCAACGACAACAGTTAAAAAAACCTTTGTCTTATTTAAAAAAAAACGCACATAGACAACGGTTTTTAAAAACCGTTGTCGTTGTGGTGTTGTCTTTTCACAAAATGCACAAAGACAACACACTTATAACAACGGTTAAGTAAAAATCGTTGTCTTTGACAAAAGTGTTGCATCAAAGACAACAGTAACGGTTTTGGACCAAACTGTTGTCTTTTATACAAAAGACAACACTTTTCTTAAAAACTGTTGTCTTTCTAGTGTTGTCTATGTGCATTTTTCTTGTAGTGATATATATATATATATATATATATATATATATATATATATATATATATATATATATATATATATATATATATAGGTGTTTTGGGAAAATCATTTCCAAAAACGTTAAGTGAAATGCAATGTTTGTATTTTCAGTGGTTTGGAACAAATTGTTTTTTCAAACCGTTGATAACCAAACACTTTCTTTAGTATTTTGATCTTTGGGTTACATCATATTTTTACCAATCGTCCAATATATTTGGGTTACATTATAATTAAAATTTTTAAATTTTTACTACATCTAAATTTCTTAAATTAAGAATTTCTTTATCCATAATAATTTATTCAACAGTAATAGTTGAACTAAATGAACACGGGTACCGTTGATTCATTCATTAATCTTGTATATATGTGCATTCATTAAATGTATTAAAACCCTTTGCAACAAAAATACTTGGTTACTATTTTAAAAAGTTTAGTAACAATTATAATAAATATCATATATTACATTGTATTCATATAATATGAGTTACATATTCATATGCAGCAGCAAACCACACCCATTCACTCGTATGTTGGGGTCATGATTGACCAATGCAGAACTATTATGTCTTTATTTAGTTCTATTTCGTTAAGCTATGTTCCTAGACAGATTAATTTGCATGCTCATACTTTAGCTTCATTAGCTTTTGCTCAGGATCATTCTATGTATTGTGATTCTATCCCGCCTGACTCTATTACAGCTTTGATCAATTAATACAATCAGCAGATTGGTTTTTTCAAAAAAAAAAAAAAAAAAAAAAAAAAGAAGACAAATTCGACATTAAATTTCTTATGTATGAACTTCTCATATATAATCTTGCATTGATATATACTTTCAAATATTTATTTAATTATAAACATTGGGCATTAACTCATTCGCGCAATGCTCGTGTAAAACTAGTGTATATATATACTAATAAGAACCAATAAAATTAGGCTTATAATGGGTAGAAAAAAGTGTCCGTCAAATTCTTAAATAAAATGAATGGCTCCGATTATTTAGATTTTAATTTTTCCTTGAGATTTTCAAATTTATCTTTACTTATTAACTTACTCATTAATTTCAATAAGAAATGTCTTAGGTTCGAACCACATCATAATCAAAGTTGGCATAATTAAGTTCCTCATTCTATTTTACTCTTGTTAAATTAAATAAATTAGTAGCTACAACAAAAAAAATGATACATATGCATTTCTTTAATTTAGAATTATGTGTCTACAATGTCTTTATTTGAAAAAATATATTCATTATCAATAAATTAAATAATAGGAATAATTGCATTAGTTATATTGTCTTTTATTTTTTCCAATACAAAAATTCTTTACATTTAAATTCATCAAATGATATTCATTACATTGCCCATTATTTTCTTTTTACAATATCTTGTAATTAAATATCAAAGTTATAATACAAAATAATGTTATATATTTATTTACCCAAGTATTTTATTAATACCATGAAAAAAAAATAATTTGAAGCCAATATTAACTACTTGGGGAATTTGCTGACGAAAAGAGTATTCAAATAACCCAATAAATATAAGCGGGAAACTACCTCGTAATATCTTTGAACTACATCATATTTAAAATGTTCAAATTTTTGCTACTTTATCTAACCGTATTCCTTAAACTAAGGATTTCTATATATACAATAACTCATTCACACAATAATGGTTGAACCAAATGATCCCAGAGCAGAACACCTAAAGGACTTATATGCTTTTATGTTGATAATAATATGTAAATATTAATTATATCATTATCTTACGTAGCTACATTTAAAACTAATTATTAAAACTATCAATGTAGGGCAATAGAACATTGTAACACATTTGATGCAGTGAAAAGATGCCGAGACTACAACAATGTTGCAATCAATTTGGCAAACCTAGAAAATGAAGAAATTTCAAAATAGCCACCGTTGATTCAATCATTTATCATGTATGTAAAATACTTATTGAGCATTCATTAAATATATTAGAAGAGAAAATTACACATTTGGTCCTTGTGACTATTGTGGTCTTGTTAATTTGAGTACTTGACTTTAGAAACTATTAATTTAACCTCGTAACTATGCAATTTTTATCACATTTGGTCTTGCCGGCCAAATGTTGCCGAAAAAATGTAAATGCTTTTAAAGTGTTTATTAATAAGGGTAAAATAGTCATTCTACGTTAAAAAAAAAAAGTGGGGGGGGGGGGGGGGGTATTCCATTGTCCATTGTTTCTCCATTGCAGGTACAGTCTAAGCGAGCCTCGCTAGTGCGCATGTACTGGTGAAGCAATCTCATCAATCTCCCAACGCTGCAGCCCCGAGTCGAGCAGCTTGCCACGGTTCTCTTGTGGAAGGATTGTAAGATGTTTGATGGAGATATTGGACCCGACCTAAGTGATAAGACCTGGTGAAAAGAAATTCAAACAGGAGATGTCCAAAACTAAGGCGAGCGAAGACAACGATAAATGTTGATGTTGCAATAGTTATTGTGTGGATCGTGGTCCACATAGTTATGATCAAACGCGATTCGTTGCAATATACATGTTTATAACTCGTAATGTACAAAATTCTAACACATAATTATTTATGAGTAATTCTACATGAACTCCCAAATCATACTCCCTATGACGACATGACATGCCTTGATTGCTTAATTTAATCAGGGGTCATAATGTTTATCTATTATTTTTTTTCTTCCTCCAATCAAATTTGAACACAAGTGGGAGTAAAAGTTAGGAGTATGTTTTTGAGAGTACATTGAAGTATTTTTCTTTACATTATTTTACCCTCAAAAGTTTCATTATTCTAACATATAAAGTATATTATTCTAACACATAAAGTATATTATTCTAACACATAATGTACATTATCTTACCCTAAAAATTTAATTGTTCTAACACAATGTACATTATTCTAACTCATAAAATTCAGCACCGTTGTTTTGAACCGTGATCCACACAGCTATATGGACCGTTAATTTGCCGTTGATGTTAGGATCAGCCACGACATTAACTCGACCAAAAAGGCCGGGAGAGGCTCCGAAATCACGCTATGAAATTGTTAGACAACCATGTATAAATAGATAAGATTTCCAATTGTTATTTTGGGTTAATTAATTGGTTTCGTAATTTTGTCCGTGAGCAAAAACAGAAAGGAAATGGAAGCTAGCTTTCAGGTAGCGACAGAAAAGCGATCAACAAGAAAACCCAGCAGTTTCATTTATATACATATGCTGTCGTTAGCGGCGGTCGTTTTCATGGTGAAATGAAACGCAGCTTCCTCGTCATCCTTAATCCTTATCAACTTCACTTCCGGACTACGTTTTCTCCTACATCCCACGCTTCACCAACACTCTTCGATCACCATCAACTAACAATAACGAACATTCATGAAAACAACCTATTCCTATTCGTTTGAGAGACGAGCTAACGAGGGTAATCACAGCCACTATTCGAGGGTGTAACTTGAATAAATATGACATTATAAGCTGTGAGCATAACCAACAAAAGACCAGAATGAGTTTCAACTTGTCAATAACTGATTAGCTCAGATCAAGAAGGTCAATGGGTGCCCGGTGTTACACACTTTCTTTAATCCTTTAGTTTCATTTCATTCACATTCCTTTCTCCATACCCAGCCTGGATGGTCTCGATAGGTACTCAAACTGAAGGAAAGACGATGCGCAGGGCGTTGGGCGACACAACGTACACCAAAGTGTTTGTGGGAGGGCTAGCCTGGGAGAGTGGGAGCGATTCGTTGCGTGAATACTTCGAACAGTTTGGGGAGATTGCAGAGGCGGTTGTGATCATGGATATGCGCAGCGGCCGCTCCAAAGGCTACGGTTTTGTGACATTCCGTGACCCTTCAGCTGCATCCATGGCTTGTGCCAATCCAAATCCCACCATTGGTGGCCGGAGGACCAACTGTAATTTGGCCGCACTTGGACGCCCTCCACCATTTCCTCTTAATGGTATGTATAGTCTTCCCAGTTTTAGGGTGCTAAATCATTTTCTGAGTTTCCGTGTTTGACTAGAGGGTGAAAATAGAAGTCAATGAAAAATTGGAGTTTGGTCCATGAAAAATAGTGGAAATTTTTTGGAAAATGACTTTTTTTTTTTAAGAAGTCATTTTCTGTTTGCAGCAGTAGAGTAGCAAATCACCGGCCGCGGCCACCACCTCTACCATGGTATATTTTAAATATTTAAAATTAAAAATAATTATGCTCATTTTTCATAAAATGAACCAAACACACCAAGACAGTTTTCTGGAATGCCACCAAACACTTGGAAAAAAAATATTTTCTAAAAAATGAGTCATTTTTCATAAAACATTTTCCAAAAGTTATTTTCTTGTCTTCCAAACACACCCTTAGATGAAATGAAAGGACCATATACATACTATGTTTTTTTTTTTTTTTAATACTACTGACTCTATTACATACTATGTTATTTAGTTCATGTTTTTTGAGTAAACCCTGCCTTGCGACTCTGATCGACAAAGGAGGTAAATCATTCTAAGTTGTCTATAGCTAACCGGTTTAAACTAAGAAAGCTGATATTTGAACCCGTGGATTTATATGCTTAGCCATCTTGACTAGGGTTACCATCAATTAGTTCATGTGTTCATACAATATAATGTTGTTTTTAATTTAATGACAGGACATCTAACCTCAACTCTGCCCTACCTAGGAGTGCAGGCTTTGAGGGGGCTGTATATGGGAAGCCCCTTTTACCAGCTACTTCCAGCTCCTTATTATGGCTATCAATCTGGAACCCCATATCTTCCATATAGGTTAGTTAAATCACTCGGATTAATCATCTGATCTCAACATTTCTTGAGAAATAAATGAGTTTATAATACCATGAATTAGACAAACATATATGCTTTTAAGTGTCAGTTTAGCCTATGTGCATTATGATTTATGATCCAGTTTTAATCTTAAATTTTGACGATTCATTGGTTTAACAGGAACTCTGCATTTGCCACAGAAAATGCTTACCCTCAGGCAAGTTAGTTTGTACTTAATTGATCCCAAACTCATATTGCAATTAATATTTTTTTTTATGACAAGAGAAACATGTAATTACTATCAGAGGGTGTGTACTGGATAAATCTTATCTTGTCACAAACAAGCATAAATCAGGTTAATAAGCTGATCTCATTGAAAATCAAATTTGAAATATTGTAGTCCCAAAAACTACTAGTTTGGAACTGAAGATCAAAGGGTCCTATGTGAATGGTTGTTTTATGTTATCATATTCATTATGGCTCCTGAAATCTGAGATTTCCTTCAGATCTATGACATGGCAAGCACAGTTGGCACAAACACACTGTCATTTGGACACGTGGGCAGCCAACCTGGCAGTCCTGGGTATACAATGATGCGAGGCTATTTTGTGTCTTCTTCTCATATGGTGCAATATCTTAGACCTAATGTCAACGGAGCAATCGGTAACTACAACATAACACCATATTACTCCGGTAGGATTTCTTGAGAAAATATTTAAAAATTTACACGATTTGGGTTAATATATGAACGCAGAAGATCGATCTAATAACTGTTCATCATTCATAACAACGTTATTTAACTTACTGTTTGTTTTTTTAAGGTACGATCACACCATCTTTGGTGCAGTCACATACTGCAATTCCTGTTCATTCTCCCCGGTTTACTCCGAGCAATAACTCTGAACAAGCCTCGGATTGAGTGAAGGAATGTGAAGTTTATATCTCGATGTTAATGTATATTGGTGCATCATGCAACGTCTCAACGTTAATGGTGACTTTCTTCTTCATTACAGCAATTCAAGAAAGTTTAGGAACAGAAAATGCAGGTCCATCATGCATCATTATTGGACTACAGGCCTTCCAAGAAGTCAAGAATTACTGATCTGAATTGTTCGGAAGAGATCAAATTAAATCTGCTGTGATCTGATAAGAAACAATGTATAGCAATCCAGAAATTGAACCTATTACAACGTTGGAACAACATTGCCACAATCAAATTCAAATATCGATGCTCAAGGAAGATGCTACGGAGTATTTGAATCAAGGTTTTTTGTATCAAATGATGTGATTTGCAATAAATAAATATTGTATAAAGGAATAAGGTTCAAATTGGTTATTAAACGAAACCTGAAAGTGTAATTAGGTTACTCAACACTTTAAATGTATATAATTCCATTTGGTTGCAAGTTAACACTTCATCTAGCAAGTTGTATGTTGACGTGGACGATGACTTACATTTTTTTCTTCTAAATTTCGTTTTCATTTCTTCTTTTTATTTTTGAAAACCAGTTTCTTACATAAAATCTGTTGCAGTATATATTCAGTTTTTTTAAGATATATATTCAGTTTATATAATAATTAAAACGTTAATAAATAGAATGAAACACGATCCCATTGACAGTGCACTACTTTGGAGCTAAATTAAGCAAAAGGTGGACCAAACACTACTTGGGTGCTAAAACCTCTCTTCACAGTGCACTTCATATCATTACAAATTGCAAAAAAATCTGTTGCAGTACCTAGTTCTTTTGTCTAAAACTGCAAATTGATGAAGCTACGAACTGATACACTTCAAACTAACTGATGAAACTCCGAAGCAACAACAAATCAATAGGAATTTCAGTCGTAATTGTTGATTTGGGAATTTCTGATTGAAGCTTAGTTTGCCTAGCTAGTACATGGGGAAGAGAGAATGAAGAAACAGTAAAGAAAGAAAGGAAATGATCAGTGCGTACTGAACAGGGTTTTCAAAAAACTAGTAATTGTCCCGTGCGATGCACGGATACGTATTATAACTATTGTTTTAATACTATAGTAAATAAATCATTAGACAATTAAATTGTAGTTGTTTAGTGCAAAAGACATTTAAGTATTGTAACTGACTACATGATTTCAATCAGTTATTCCCAGTAGCTGATTGCACTCTTTGTCCCACAGCAGAAAGGGTGCATTTCCTTCGAGGTCTGCAACTCTGATCTTCAACCTGTACCTCAAATTTCATTCTCTCCAGCTCCAATCACACTTTTGACAGTAATATTGCCCACCTTTCAATTCAAGCTTCTTGTTGCAATTAGTTGTTCTTACGTAAATAAATACTATGTATGCATATAATTTAACTATATATATAATTATTTTTTTTTTACCATATTTAGAAGTTGGGTAACTATATATAACACAAATATATATAACACAAATATATATATACATATAATATGTATTTATATATATATATATATATATATATATATATATATATATATTCTGTTTTTTCGTATAAAATATACGGAGTATAATATTATATATTATATATTACATATAATACATACATATATTGTGGTTAGAAGGAGTTGGACTGCGTGGTTGATTCTAGAAACCATGCCACCTCTGCTCTCATTCCTCTGCATCTCTACTTACAAGCAAGTTGACTTCTCAGACACATTTATGGGTCGGAGAAGTGCTATTCAAAGCTCTATCACGCAAGAAATTGATGTTCCATTTCTCTGATTTTGAACACCGATCGTTGTTCATATACGTTTAAGGAGAAATTTCTGGGCGATTCAAGGTGTTTCAAAATAGCTTCGATTATGAGATTCATCTTTGAACTCCATTTCTACAAATTCCTAAAGTTTGTTGAAATTCATTTCCATATTATATGTCCTGTATTTCTTACAGGCAAGAATGAACCCATGCATGTCGGATCTGAGTACAGATCCGGGTTTTTGAACTGCAAAGGTCACCTAAGAACACATACGGAGGGAAGTGTGGATGATCTACGAAAAGGTAAGTATCGTTTAGGCTTTTTTATTTGTGTGTTTATTCACTGATTTTCATACTGATTACGCATGAATACAGAATTACTATTGTTTTTTTTTTTCTGTATGCTAAACTTAGTACTAAAAAGCATTATGTTTTAGTCAACTTGCCCATTAGTGTCTACATATTTATATTGGCATTATTTTTGTAATTAGCTTCATTCCAACTTCTTGATACTTACATAATTGTCGAGCTTGATACTTGCAGAAATGTAATTTTTTTGAAGAATGCAAGACACCAGTATGCATTCTATCACAGTTCTTGGTGCCAAGGTAATATGATCTTTATATTTTTAGTGGAGAAATTTTGAAATATGGACACCAGGTAACCTTTTTTTCCAACTTAACATATTTTGCTTTGTTTACAATGCTGGGTTAAATTTAAAACTTTTATACACTTATTTTTCATTTCCAATTTTGTGGTTGTAACTTGTTTTTTTCAGACTTCATTCTAACTTATTACCTTTTACAAACGATGAGTTAACATTCTGATTCACTATTTTTTTGAAAACAGCTTACTGTATTATTATTAGTAGAAAACCATATGAATACATTTTTTTGCTAACACGCATATTTTGTCGCTCATGCATGGTATATCACACTAACCTTTAGGCCCAAAACATCCTAAATTACATATTGTCCCTAGATCTTTACATGTAGACATCTGCACGTTGCCAATTTATAGAGGATTATGGTCATCTTCACTATGTTCTCCAAGTTTCTAGGCAACTACATCTGTGATTATCTTGCGTAAAGACCTGCAAGAGAAACATAAACCACAACAAAAACAATAGATTCATAGATAAGGCAATAACTACCAGGATAAGTTAAACATTCATAGATAAGTTACCTCAACCACTCTAGATTGAATCTTTTCTCTCTACTCTTTCAAGCTTAACACTGACCACTGTCTTGTTCTTTGAAGATTGAGTTTATGAGAACTCGTCCAGGACACGCCTCTTTACAACAGAACTATCCCCCACAACCACTTGATTGTCAGCAGCACCAATAGCGCGAGGGCTTTCACTTTCATCACCCTCGTCAAAGTCCTAAAACAAATATTAAGTTGATTATTAATAAACATAGTATTTGACATCGTCATCATCCACCATCTTATTTTTCACCTTAGAACTGAAATCCTTGTCGTGAACTACCAATAGCTCTGGTGCATGAATTTGGATCAATTTTTGGTCATTGTTTATCCTCATGACAGGAAAGGCATTGTGCAAGTTCTGAAATTGTTCTTTCCGAACAACAACCAAAAACAGCATGTACTTTGGACATTTAGACTTCAAGTCTGCAACAATTATTCCCAGTAGCTGACTGCACCTTCAATTTGGGATTCACTGTCAGAACCCTTCCAATATCAGTGTTACTCATTTATATTCTCTCTTTTCTTTCCCAATTTAATTTGCTCACATTTACATCAACACCAAGCACCAAGAAAAAGAAAAAAAAAAAAATTTCTGCTCAAGAAAAAGTGAAAGTGGATGCAAAGCTTTACCAAATCTGCAGCCCAGATTTTGCAGCAACAACTACTGCTGGTTAGACCTCCTTTGTGGACTTTGCGATTTCCATCATCCCCCTCCATTGTCAGCCTCCATTCCGAGCGACCTCGATGGCAATTCCATGCCCCCATCCACCAGATAATTCCAGAGAATTCCTTCGCCTACAACCATCACCTTCTCTGCCCTAACTCCACCCAATCCCCTCCTTCCCCTCTGCCATTGACACCTCCCTCTTATTTCCAGGATTACTTTCTCAAGCAAATGCTCTTCCATGTAATATTTGAGGGTCCAAGCAAATGCTCTTCCAAGTAAATTTATTGTTTATTTTGAAGAGAATTTAGAATACAAAAATTTATTTTAAGCTGTTTAGATGTATTCATTCATCTTTTGAAGCAGGGAATTGGGAATTTATAAAAACACAGTATAAAGAGATTAAATAAAACAATTGAAACAGTGATGAAGTGCAATGCTTTACTGGTAACATCAAAATAAAAGGTTAGATATCTTCAACATACCCTTATCTGATGTACTTTGCTTCCTCTTCCCTCCTATAATTGTTGAGCGAATTAATTTCCTCATTATGTTCTTGTGCTATATAGGTAGTAGATTGTTACTTATCATTCTTCTCCACTGATAGTTCCATTGGCTACCATGTGCTCCGATACGGCAGTGGAGTAGGTTCTAGACGTTTTCCCTTGGCCGGCTGCTTCCTCTCCGGCGACGCTTCTGGCATCTTGGGCTGCACAGCCTAATTCCAGACTTATTTATAGTGTAAGACTTATTTAGCTTTGATATCTGAAAAATATCTGCAAAATTGAAAAGACAGATATTATTATTATGAGTTAATACCCAAAATCATCCTCGACTATAGTGGTTTTTCTCAATTTCGTCCTAAACGACTTTGGTGACCTAATATCGTCCCAAACTTTTATGTTTCGCTCAATTTCGTCCCATACTTTTGTGTTTTTGCTCAATTTAGTCCCTCATTTGTTATTCTATCCATTTAGTGTTAAATAAATAGACAATTAAGTAATTTTAATATTGGCATCTCTTTACTCATAGACATGTGAACTGCAAAATCCTTTTTTTTTTTACGAATTAGTCACAGAATTACTCCTAAAATTGCGAATATAAAATTTAATTTGCAGGTTCGCGAGTAATTCTGGGTGTAATTCGTACAAGAAAGAGGAATTTCGCACTTCACAAGTTGAAAGTAAAGAGAGATCAATATTGACATTACTGAATTGTCCCTAAATTTAACACCAATTTGACGGAATAACAAATGGAGGACTAAATTGAGCGAAACACAAAAGTCTGGGACGATATTAGGTCACCAAAGTCGTTTAGGACGAAATTGAGAAAAACCACTATAGTCGAGGACGATTTTGGGTATTAACTCTTATTATTATTATGTATTGAATTCTAACTGGTGGATTCTCGAAAAGGCACATTGAATTCATTTGTTTAGTTTATATTTATATTATATGTATTATAATAAATAATAAATTCTAAATCTTGGATTCTCGAAACCACACATTCAATTCATCTGTTTAGCTTACCAAAAATCATCCCAAAACACTGCGTTTTTACTTGGCGGGAACAATAGGTTCTGCTTTATTATAATAGAAGACTATGAAATGAAAATGAATTTTTTTTCTTTTTTTTAAAGGATAAGGGTCAAATAGTCCCTTGAACTATAGGCAAAAGTGCAATTAGACCCTTTAACTTTTAAAAAGGTCAATTAAGCCATTCAACTTGTTATTTTGAGTTAAATAAGCCTAATTACATGTAACCAACAGGTTACGGGTAAATTATTGATGTTGACCGCCGGAAATCACCGTTGACTGTCGAGAAAAAAAAAAAAAAAAAACTTCTCCTGGAGAAAACGACGTCCGATCTTCTTCTCCAAGAGAGGCTGGTCGCCTTCTCCAGTGGAGAGGACGACCGGACTGGTCGCCTTTTTCACCGGAGAAGACGACCATATGGTTGTCTTCTCCGGTAGGTCATTCAAAAAAATAATAATAATATTGTCGCCGAATTTTTTTCACCGGAATTCTTACTGGAAATGTTGTCGGATTTTTTGACCAGTTATTGCAGGTGAATAACCTATTATTGGACTTATTTGACTCAAAATAACAAGTTGAAGGGGCTAATTGAACTTTTTAAACGGTAAATGGCCTAATTGCACTTTTACCTATAGTTCAAGAGTTTATTTGACCCAGTCGTTATGCTGTGGGCTCGTGCCCAGCGTGCATCATGGGCACGGTAACGGTGCCGTCAGGCACCGTTATCTTCCCTTTTTTTTTTTTTTTTTTTTTAAAAAAAAAAAAATTAATTTCAAACCGCTTCGTTATAGGAGCATATATTCACGGCTTTGTGTTCATAATTTCATAACTGTACATTCATAATTCCATAACTGTACATTCATAATTCCGTAACTGTACATTCATAATTCAATAACTGTAAATTCATAATTTTCGAAGCTCTATGTTCATAATTGTAAGTTCATAATGTCAGAGTTCTATGTTCATAATTTCATAACTGTACATTCATAATTTCATAACTGTATATTCATAATTCCATAACTGTACATTCATAATTCCATACCGAACATTCATAATTTTCGAAGCTCTATGTTCATAATTGTAAGTTCATAATTCCATAACTGTAAATTCATAATTCTATAACTGTACATTCATAATGTCATAACTGTATATTCATAATTTCATAACGAATATGCCGTTAACGGCGTTTCGAACAATTTTTTTTTTAGTTAAAACAGCGTCGTTTTCACTGAAAACGACGCCGTTTTAGCACATAGCATAATTTGCCTTATTTGACCCTTATCCCTGTTTTTTTTTTTTTTTTTTTTTTTTTTTAATTCCTTTTCATTTCATTTGTTCTTTTAAAACCCTATTCAGTACGCACGTGATCATTTCCTTTCTTTAGTGGTCCCACTTTCTACAAATCACTCGACTCTTGCAGGAGGATATTTTTCTCTTTCTTACCCTCTCTCTTCGCCAAGTCATGATGCACTCTATTATTCTCCTCAAAATATGCTCTGCTATTGATACTCTAATGGCCTGTTTGATTCACAGAAAAGGCCAGAAATGGCATAAGGGAGCAGTCGTTATATTATAGACCGCGGTGCATGTGCACCGCGGTCAAAAACGGCGCCGTTTCTTTAAGTAAAGAAACGGCCCGCCGTTAGAGTTAACGGAGTCCGCTTATTCGGTGTATTAAACACCAACTGGCACTATAGTATATCTAAACTGACACTGCAGTTATATCAAAATGATACTGTAGTTATAGTGAAATGAAACTGCAGTGTATATAAAATGAAACTGAATAACATTTCACATATTTGAGTGCATATTGTACAATGAAGCTGTAACTATATCAAAATGATCATGTAGTTCTGTTTTAATAAAACTATAGTGTATATAAAATAAAATTAAAGAGAAATTTTCAATTTTGGTTATTTGACTATAGGGGCTTTGTTAATTTCAGCACTTGACTTTCAAAAGTATCAATTTAGTACCTTGACTATGTAATTTTTATCAATTTTGGTCATTCTGGTCAAATTATCGGTCAAATTTTGCCGAAAAATTTTAACAGTTAAAAGATGAATTCGCCGGAAAAGATGAATTCACCAGAAAAAATACCCTCATTATTTTAACTGTTAAAATTTTTCGGCGAAATTTGACCGGCAATTTGACCAGAGTGACCAAAATTGATAAAAATTGCATAGTCAAGGTACTAAATTGACACTTTTGAAAGTCAGGTGCTGAAATTAACAAAGCCCCTATAGTCATATGACCAAAATTGAAATTTTCTCTAAAATTATATAACATTTTCACATATTTGAGTCTGTAAATATCGAATGAAACTATAGTTATATCGAAATGAAACTGTAATTGTGTTGAATTGAAACTGCAGTGTATACAAAATGACACTGAATAACAGAGTTACTTTTTACAAAAGGGTGTGAAACGGCGGAAACTAACACTGTTTATTTTCATTTAAAAAAAAAAAAGACGCGCGGTGCATAATCGATTATGCACCGCGGTGCATAATATAATTTGCCATAAGGGAGTTGGTGGGTTGGGCTTTGAACTGCTACAAACTTTTAATCTAGCTTTCTTAGGTAAATCGGTTACAGTTATACAATGGACCAAGGTGGGCCCAGATCCACGGAATAATTTGCCCACCAATTTAATCTGGGCCGCTGGTCCAGTACGCGGGCCTTACATTTCTTTATGAAAATGGGCGGTCCTTTAGAAACCCGACCCAAGATCTGATCTGAACCGGAAAGTCCCCCGAGTCAACTTGCAAGGATCCCATAGTCCTATCTTCACTGCATAACCAATCTGAATTCCGGAGTTTCATTTCATTAGCGCCACCGCTCCTCCGTCGTTCTCCGCCGCGCCGTAGTTAACAACCATGGAGGAATATCCAGAAGAACTCCGTACCCCACCGGTTGCTCTAGTATCTCTAGTGGGCTGTCCGGATCTGCACGCAACGATCACGGCGCACCTCCACGCGGAGCAGCCGCCGATAAATACGCTGGCACTGCCTGATTTCTCAAAGATCTCGGTACTCGCGAAGCCTCCGAAGGATAATCCGGCCTCATCTCAACCCGTGGGCGGCATCTTAAAGAGAGATTGGCTTCCCAAGCACCGGACTAGAGTTCCTGCCGTCGTCGCTGCCTTCTTTAACTACGATCACGTCACCGGAGACCCCGCTCAGTGGCTTCAGGTCTGCACCGATCTCGAAAACCTCAAGTACGATTCCTTGGTCCCCTTTTCCGTCGCTACAGTACTTCACTGGTGATAGAGCAATGCTTGCCTTTTGTCTCCACGTGAAAGTCTGTACTTGTGTTCGTATTAGAATGTTATTTTTGTGGCATTGGAATTACTTGTGATGATATGTGGAATGTGGACAGAGCTGTGATACGAGGAAGGAACAGCAAATTGGTGGTGGTGGTGGTTGTAGCTCATTCAAACGCCAAAGGCATGTTTGTTAGCGCTCTAGATTTCTTACATTTCTATGTATTTACATGTTCATAGTTGCGATAACTGAAAAAACTGGAGTTTTGTAGAGATCCAAATGATTCTGAGCTGCTATTGCATCATTCATTTTGCTAACTTGGTATAGCTCTCCAATTTAATGTGCATATATCTATCCAGGGATATTCTGTTTGTTCTTGACAGTTTTGTTTGTGGTGTATACCCAAAAATTCTTTTTACATTGAGAATATTGGTATATGTTGGTTGAGGCTTCCTTTGGTTCAGAAGTTTGTGATTGGTTCTTTTGGTGGTTATAGGCATTATGACAGAGAAAAAGAATGAATGTGAGCAGAATTTTCACATGAATGCATATCCCAAATCTTTATGGAGTTGTTGATATAATGTTTATTTATATATATTTATATATGGGAAACATGACAAATATGCCCCTACTTTTAGCAAAAATGCAATTAAAGTTTTAAACTTCCAATTTCGTGCAGTTAGGTTCCAATCTTGACAGGCCAACTATCTCCTTCCTAGTGGAAGATAGGCATCCTTCGGTCAAAATTGGAAATTTCTTGTACAAAATTTGTCAATATTGGAACGTATTTGCACAAAATTGGGAGTTTAAAGCTATTATTGCACTTTTTTAGTTGAGGTACCCGATTGCACTTGCACTAGAAGTAGGAGCACGTATTTGACCCCTTTTCATTTACATATTCTTGTTTGGTTCAGAGGTT